CCCCAAAACCCCAAAACCCCAAAACCCCAAAACCCCACTTGGCAATTATATTATTGAAATTGTAAAATGGGTGGCGGATGAAGTTGTCTTGGTAAAAACAAGCAAAAAGGATCTAACCAAACAAGAAATTGAGTTGATAAAGGAAAAAGCATCACTGGAAGACCCTCTCCTATTGTCTCAAATAGTTTGAAGTCTTCTTTGAGTCAAAATATAAATGAAACTAGTAATTTAGAGTCAGGCGTACCCTCGAGGGTTATCAAAATCGGATTACAGGATTATAATAAAGATGTAGGCGTTAATTTCCTAAAATAAGGAGTTATTTGATAACCTCACTCCAAAAAGTAGGAAATAAATACGACTCTCGAAGGAAGAAGTGGGACACAATGGCACATTTCGACTCACACAAAAATGAGTCTATAAATTCAAAGTCTGTCTACAATGAACTAAAATAAATTTTTCGAAAAGAACTCCAACAAGTTTTGTGAGAGGATTGGCAAAGGGCCTCCATGTGAATACAGATGGTTCGCCTGGAAAATAATCTCTGGAGTAGATTATTCCCTAATCCCTGGTCTGTATAAGGAGCTACTGGAGGAAGCAGACAAAATTGAAGAGAATGAGCATGATAAATTGAGACAAATCAACCTGGATTTGAATAGGACTTTCCCTGACTTCTCATTCTTTAGCGGAGAAAAGGGAAAACGAGGCCAACAGAAATTGAAAAGGGCCCTCAGAGCATATGCTATGTATAATAAGGAAGTAGGTTACACACAAAGCATTAACTTCCTCATGGGATTCTTCCTGATGGTTAATGGAGGGAATGAAGAAGAAGCCTTTTGGCTCTTTGTTGCTATTACTAAGAAAAATCAGAACTTTCACATGGTCGGGAACTTTGAAGGAGGACTTGAAGGATTTTATGTAGATAAGTTTCCTCTCTATCATCAATTTGTGTATCAATTCGACAAACTATTTGAGAAGAAAATCCCGAAGCTGAAATCTCACTTCGACAATATCGGATATCCAGCTCCAGTGTGGCTTCAAAAGTGGTTTATGACTTTATTTCTGTATTCCTTTCCAATGAAATTATGTATCAGACTTTGGGACAATTTATTGGTGGAGGGGCTAGTGTACATTTTCAAGTTCCCTCTCGCCATAATGGAGATCCTACAGTTAACACTGCTCAAGTGAAACTTTGAAGAAGTAAACGAAATTTTATCTAATTTACGGACTATGGATGACCCTGATTTACAGGGAGAAACAGCTGTTCTACCTAGCACAGAGAAAATAATGCTTAAAGCTAGGAAAATCAAGCTGAAGCACAAAGAGCTAGAGGATCTCAAGAAGGAATATGAACAACTAGCCTCTCAGAACGACCAAATGAAGCATATCAAGACTCTGCCCAGGATTTTGGAGGAAGAAGACATTTACGAGGAGGTCAAGAAGATGCACTGTAAGCTATATTCTAACTTTTAGCCCAATCATTCGATGAAAATGGCTTTTTGATAGATATTGAAGAATGTAAATCTCCAAACAAAAGGTATGAAAGACGTAACTCTACCGGAATTCTCTGGATCAAGACTGGTAGCTCTCTAGAGGAAGAAGATTATATTGAAGGAGAGCAACCTACTGGTCAGAGAAAATATCGAAAGATCAAGAATACTATGAGGGTAAGAGTTAATAAGAAGAATTCAAAGATAAAGCCTAAGAAATCTCTTAGAAAGGACTCGATAATACATAATACTTCAAAACTTCCTCCAATACATGATGATAAACAACAGAAAGATATCACTGCTGGATTTTTGAGAAACCTGAGTATAGGAAGTTTCTTTGAAACTGAGTCCAAGATAGGGGAGATGAAGAAAAAGTCAAGCACAACTATGCATAAAAGCCTTAAAAGTCTCAGAATTGCTGCTCCAAAGACATCTTGAAGAGGAGGAAGAATCTCTCATGCTAACATTGATAATTGTCTGTTGAACCTACCTACCTTCAATAGCTTCTCCCAATCTCTTGGGAGGTATTCCTCAGTGAAGCATTTCCAGCATGCCCATACAGATAGAGAAATTATAGAGGAGATCAGTGAAGATTTGAATGAATCTTTGGATAACTTCTTGCTTAACGATAGCTTTAATCCTCCGAATTCCCGATCTACATTGATAAAGTTTAGAAGGGGAGGTACAGAAGTTGAGAGGCTGAAGTCATTGTCATCTAAATATAAGAGCCATGAAAGCCACAAGGAAGATGACCATACTGCCTCAGTAAAAGGCAATTACATTGAAGCCATTAGTCACTCAGAGAATGATAAGTTACAGGAATGCTTTGAGCAAGCTAATAGCGATCTATTTTTGGAGTCTCAGAAGAACGGGAAAGTTAAAATCATTGACCTAGAGTCATTAGATTGTAGTGATTCAAGCTCTAGCTTGATGAATGACTCGAATGAAGACAATAACTCAGGGAGTAAGACCCATGATACTATTAAAGCAGCAGAATTCCATTCTCCGCATAATTCCAATTTTATTAACTTCAATTAAATTTTGTTTGTTAGGGGTTTTGGGGTTTTGGGGTTTTGGGGTTTTGGGG